CCCCCCCCCCCCCCCCCAATTCTGAACCTAAACCAAATACACAGAACTCGAAGAATGTAGTAACTAAAATGGCATCGTTCAGACCAAAACACAAGCCCTCAAAGTATGACCATGGTATTTGTCAATTTGCTACTCAAAGTTTTTTTATGATTTTTACTTATATGGGCAAAAAATATTGGTTTATTGCAACTTAGTTACCCAATGGTGTCCCCGTGACACGGTTTTTGACTCAGTTTATAAGTTTAACTGCTTTGTATTATGCTTGTGTCGTATTGTAGCTAAGGGAGATGACTATCAGGCATTCAGAGAAGCTTCAAAGCACCATTGGGAATCTTTGAAGCTCTGCTATCAGAAGGTACTCTATATATTGTTTGGGTTTTAGATGACAAACTTATACAAAATTTTTTGTGAAAATATGCACATTATGGTACAGGCTGCCTCAGCTCCTACAATGGCTAACATCAATATGCTACTTATATTATCTCTTTGAGCAGGTATGTCATATGACATTGAGAACAGATGTTGCAAGTTTTTGTGCAGTTTCTTTAAATTTAATGTTGTATTACATTGAGATTGGATGTTTCGAGATCAGTTGCTACAGGTATAGGTCCCAGATATACTTCATATAAAGAGTGATTTTTCAGCTTTTCAATGTTTGAGGCCAAGTCTGATCAGTTTGGCAAAGCAAAATGCACCCAGATTTTAGAGTTTATATGCTCAAGTTGGACTCTTCTACAACATCTCTATGATTTGGTGCCCTAGTGTCTTAGGCTAATGTATGCTATTCTTTTGCTTGAAGAGTGCCAATCAACTAGGACAAGCAGCTTATGTTCATTACTCCGTATTTAGGATTGTTGCTTATTTACTCTAGGTGTTGTAATTTCTTTGCTTTTAAATGCATGTTGAGAGCTATATCTTTGCCTTGGGCATTACTCAGCATGCCATTGTATCCTCTTTTTCCTTTTTAGTGAATAAAATTTTCTTATAAATAATACGGAGTATATATTAGCATCCGTTGTTTCTAAACAACCGATGCCTTTGCTATTTTTTTAAATTAATAAAATAGCAAATACATCGGTTGTTTAGAAACAACTGATGCTAATACTCTTTTCTTTTAAATTAATAAAATAGCAAAGGCATCGGTTGTTTAGAAACAACTGATGCTAATACTCTTTTTTTTTTAAATTAATAAAATAGCAAAGGCATCGGTTGTTTCCAAAGCGATGCAATTGAATTGGACCAATTGCATCGCTTGTATTTACATCGGTACAAAACCGATGCTAAAAGTATAAAACAACTGGTGCCTTTGCCCTTTTATGTACTAGTGTACAACAGTAAGTTTGCACAACAAACTTGCTATGTACGAAGGGGTGCCATGCGATTACGACAGCGACGACGTGGAGTTTGACGTCCTCGGATGGTGGAAGTGGAATAAACACATGTTCCCATGCCTCGGATGCTAGCAAGACAAGTGTTGTCCGTCCCGGTATCAACCGTAGCAGTGGAACGAGAATTCAGTGATGGCGGCAACATTCTAACCGACTACCGAAGTTGTCTTAACGCTGAATCTCTTGAAACACTTGTTTGCAACCAAGATTGGCTCCTGGCAAGACGTCGAGTTCAAGAGTCAGGGTACGAATTCAATTCGGAGCATTACATGAATGCAACCACAGATGGAAGTCCGAGTTCTGAGGAATAAGTTATAAACTTTTTTTTATGTTAATGTAGATATGTAATAATGTAAATATGCTATTAGTTTTTTTAGGTGAGCGATATATAAGCTTCTAGGGTTTCTTTACGGTTCTTTACCTCGTCGCTTTTTTTGAACCGTCAGGATATTAAATGTAGTTGTTCTTCAGTTCGTGTATTACTCATTTTACAATATTTAAATAACAACTATATTTTTAGATTTTTTATTTCATTCTTTCCTTTAACAATTGCAAATTTACAATTTTTACACTTTAAAATTTTTAAAAAAAAAGCAAAAAAAAAAAAAATAATTGGGGGTGACCGAAACTGGCCGGTCCGGTACCGGAACCGCCGGTCCGGGTACCAGAACCGGTACTACCCGGTCCGGTCACAGTACCGGTGCCAAGGAATGGCGGTACCGGAACCGGCGGTTTCGGAACCGTACTATTAACTACGAAAGGTACAGACCGGAGTACAGTAGTACATACGGAGTACGGGAGTAGTAATGATTAATGGTACATTGGAACGCACTGATGAAATCCAGAACGGAAGGTTTTCTTCCAGTCTTTTATACTGAGGGAATACTCTTTTGACCCAAAGCCTGTCCAAAATACTGACTACTGAGCGTATATCATCAATATCTTTATTGTATAGCTTATCCTCTACTTCAATTCCACTCATTAAGCCTCTGCTCAACTTCTCTCTCTCTCTTTCTCTCTCTCTCTCTCTGAGTCAAGGTAGCTGTCTTCTCTTGCTGACCATAAAAGAGAAAGTTATCCGTCTGATACTCTGATCTGTTATGCATGGGCCTTCTTGGCTCCGAATTCTGATTGTATTTTACCTTTCGAAAGCTGATGATTCTTTTTTCTTTTGTTTTTCTTTAATAACCTTTTTCCTTCTACTTTTACCAAAAGATCCTACTTTTTTGGAGGGATAGGTGATTTGTAAACCTCTTTTCTAGATCTTGATTGGAAGCTTCTTCTCCCTCTTTTCTGTTTCCAATTTCTTGCATCTTTGACTGTTGGGTTGAGTCTTAGCTTTCAATCCTCTCATTTTGGGTGCTTAGTTAGTTCAGTGAATTTTGGGTTATGCTACCTGAGAAAGATAAGTTTGCTTTTCATGCAGTTGAATTTGGTTAGAAAATAGTGTTTTGAGGTGTGGCCTTCTTTTTCTCAATGCTTATCATTTTCCATAGATTATTACAGCAATTCTTCATTCTTGTTTTGATCAATATATCCCTTTCATAGTTTAATTTTAGTCATTCCAACTCTAATTTTTTTTGAGGGACTCTAGCTCTCTATTATTGATCTGCTTGAAGATATGTCCAAGTACTTTGCAGAGACTACTCCGTATTATACTCGTACTTCATATGAATTTATGTTTTAATTAGACCCTATACCATTCTCTTGAGTGAGATATACTGGTTTTTTGTTTCGTTTAGCTTTAGAAGGCTGAGACATCTTGATTGTCCCCTTCTCACACTCTCAAGCAAAATTGTGGAATCTAATCTTACGTGTAATAAATGTGCAGCATCACATGAACATATTGTGGGTTTAGGATATATAGTGAGTTTATCATGAGTCCATCAAAAATCAAGCGTAGAGTTGGTAAATATGAAGTGGGGAGGACAATAGGTGAGGGGACATTTGCCAAAGTTAAATTTGGAAGGAATTCTGAGACAGGAGAACCCGTTGCTCTCAAGATCCTCGACAAGGATAAGGTCCTTAAACACAAAATGGCAGAGCAGGTACATCTTACACCAAACAGTTTCTTTGTATACTCAGTAATGATATTATTATTACTATTATTATTATTCTTATGAGGAGAAATCCTTCAGATTCTTTTACCAAACAACAAACAACAACAACATTACCCCAGTGTCTCAATGGCTCCCGCGCATTGCGGGGTAGGGGGGGGGTCGGATGTACATAGTCTGACCCCTATGTTTAAAACATAGAGCGGCTGTTTCCAGATGACCCATGATGAGCATCGAATGTTGCATTGACTAACTGCTACATCATAATTGCAAGAAGCACACACAGTTTATGGAGCTGCTTTATTCGAACATACCCCAAAGCCAAAAAATAGTGAATCTTTGGCTCCATAGGGGAATGGAAATATTCTTTTACCATTTATATAAAAACAGATTAGAATGGGGATTTTTTAATGATGCAGCTTCTCTGTTTAGTTTTTATCTTATGCTCTGTGATGTTATATAAATGTTTGATTTAATAGATCAGGCGGGAAATTGCTACGATGAAGTTGATAAGGCATCCAAATGTCGTTCGATTGTATGAGGTTATTCTTCCTCTGTGTTTATTTTAACACGTATTCTTGATGTTTGTGTGTTTATGTGCACTAACAAGGAAGAACACAAATATATGCCACCTAAAACTGTTCAATTTAAGCCTCATAGTTCTCTTAATTTTGTGTAATTTGATATTGAAACAAACAACAAATGTCTTTAATCTTTTATATAGTTTTCTTGCTCTAACATAATTTATCTGGGTGACAAAAACAAATATGTTTCATCAATTTATTGCGTAGTTTGTCTTAGGTTGTTTACTTCATCTTTTGTCAGGTTATGGGAAGCAAGACCAAAATATACATTGTTTTGGAGTTTGTTACTGGAGGAGAGCTTTTTGACAAAATTGTGTGCAAATTCTTCCATTTTAACTCTGCCATGTTACAATTGGGTCCATTTTATTAACTAATATTCGGTTTAAGGCCACTTACCCCATATAAGAAATTTCCCAAAATAGGAGTAAAACATAACCATTATCTCTAAAATAGGACCTCCATTTTTTTTATCCCCAAAATAGGGGTTTGCATTGTGACAATGTGGCACTGTATATTGGCATTACACAATGTTTTTTTGCTATCATGTTCTGACACTATTGACATTGTAACTCCTATTTTGGAAATAAAAATATGGAGCTCCTATTTTGATACTTTCTCTATGTTTTACTCCTAGTTTAATCTTTTTCCCCTTACTAACTTGCTGAATATGAAGGTAAATCATGGACGGATGAAGGAAGATGAGGCAAGGATGTATTTCCAACAGCTTATTAATGCAGTTGATTATTGCCATAGCAGAGGAGTCTACCACCGAGATCTAAAGGTGGGTTGTCTAGCTTTAGTGCTCTACCAGACTATAGACAACATACTCCCTCTATCCCAAAAACACCTTTCTTTATTTTTGTGTCCCACAAAATCCTTCCTCTTTCTATTAAAAAACCTATTTTACCCGTACTAATTCTTATCCTACCTATCACATCATACCTTTTTACTAATAATCTACCCATACCCATCACATCAAGGGTATTTTTGGAAAGTCAACAATAAAAATATCCCTCCCTTAAAGTTCCTAAAAGCCAAAATGAGAACAACCTTATGGGGCGCAGGAAGTATTATTCTTTTATTTTTCCGAGGATCTCTTATACTTCACTGTATCTTTATCTGTTTGGTTTCTGGTGCAGCCGGAAAACCTGTTGTTGGATGCTAATGGGAACCTCAAAGTTTCTGATTTTGGATTGAGCGCTTTGTCCCAGCAAGTCAGGGTATTGAACTGATCACTCTTTTCCTCTCTCACTGATGATTTAACGGAAAGCTCGATATCACTAGAATGCAATGCTCCATTTTACAGTTTGATCTTGGCAGGAGGATGGGTTACTTCACACAGCATGTGGAACTCCCAATTATGTTGCTCCAGAGGTATATAATTTTGTAAGCGCAAATTGAAATGAAAAAATTTTGAATTCTACAGAATGCAGCGTTCATGAGTGTTCCCGTGTATCATATTCTTTTTTCTTAGGTTCTGGACGATCAAGGTTATGATGGGTCAACTGCTGATTTGTGGTCTTGTGGAGTTATTCTCTTTGTATTGCTTGCTGGTTACTTGCCTTTCGATGATTCAAACATTGTCAACTTATATAAAAAAGTGAGAATCCAAATTCTTGGAGCCGATCGCTTTTGCCTTTTTGTGAGTCTTACTTGTTAAGCTCTCCCCCCTTGCAGATCTCTTGTGCCGAATATACTTGCCCTCCTTGGTTCTCTTTTGGTGCCATGAAGCTTATTACAAGGATACTTGATCCGAACCCCGTAACTGTAAGCTCAGTTTTGTTAAGACATCTAACATAAACGAATATAATAAATACAAACCACTCTAGTTTTTTTTATCAATGTCTTTTGTGAATTATGCAGCGGATTACCATTCCTCAACTTCTGCAAGAAGAGTGGTTTAAGAAAGGTTATAAACCACCTGTTTTTCACGAGAACAAAGATGCAAACCTTGATGATAT